CCTCTATATATAATATCAAAAATACAACTAATGGACGCCAGAATTATTGCATTATTTAAATTTTATTACTGTCATATACAACTTCAGCATGCAATTGATCATTATGAAGCCAGGGAGAGCAATCTATATAATATTAACTAATTGCAAGCTATGAGATGAATGAAAGTTATCTAGAATGAAGCATCCACTAGAACAATCAAGAATTGCTAGCTTCACACAAAAATAGTATCTCTTCATGATGAAAATGGTGTACCTGTTGTCTCATCCCTCCTATTAAAAATAATGAAAATATGAAAGAAAGTTTGTCCATTGATCCAGATAGTGAATTGGTTATCAAAAAACTTCAACAAACAATAGATACACTTTATATTCATAGATCAATATTAATAAAAGATATGCTAGATCTTGAAGAAGAAATGGAGATATACTAGCAGTTTAATGATGAAGATTTTATTAAAGCAGCAACAGAGGTAGAGCAGATAAAAAATGAAATCGTAATACTACCTTTAACCAGAAAAGAGCAGTTAGAAATTTTGTGTAGAACTTTAAGAATTGTTGATGAAAGGATTGATGATATTGGAGTAATAATGAAGTTTTTGCATAAGCTACAGTTACGTATTCATAAAAAGGTTCAAAAAGAAGAAGCTGAAAAACAAGTCTAATCTATATTAGATCGATTCTTTTCTAGACCTAAATAATAAATAGCTTTTACATTAATTTTTTTTATTTCTGTTTTTAAAAAAATTTACTCAAAAAACTTATCAGGTAAGATTTTTCGCTTCTCTACAATAATATTTTTAATAATAAATATTATACTTCACAGCATCTCATAATCAGGCAGGTTCAAAAAAAAAAGTTCATTTAAAAAAAAAACCAAGTTGTATAGCCTCACTTTACCCGCATCGCGACTAACTAAAAAAATATAAAATTAAATAAATATCTATTAGCAGATTAAAAGCACTTTGTTATATCTAAAAATACTATCTATATCTATGTTTATTTGATAGTAATTATTTTTTCTGTCTCTCGTTCAACTAGTAGAATATCAAATGATCTGTTACTTGACTTGTTTTATTGCATTACTGCATTATATCAATAAAAAATTTCACTTTCATGTGAATGAAAAGTTCTTTAAGTTTACTTATATTTGGTTAACTTCTAGTTTAGAGTTCAGATTTAGTTAATCTATAGTAAAATCATTCAAGGTATTAGTGTATAAAAAGTAGTTTCTTGAAAAATAACGATTTTTGACAAGACAAAGTTTATTACATTACACTAAATTATTATCTTTTATTAGCCAATAATCATGTAGAAATGAAATTTTTATGGTAATACTGGGTCTTCATATATGGGCTAGGTGCTGGAGAAAGGGCCGAAAATGACAAAAAAAAAAAAATCTTTGGAAAATCAATTTTTATATTATAAATCTTATAACAAATCATAAGAAAAAACAAACTTTAAAGATCTATACTGCAAAATTTTATTAATACAACTACTTTTGT